TTGATTGGCTAATAATCACATGTAGATCTACAAATTGATCTACAAAGCTAGCCAATCAGACGAATTTCTGCCTATGAATTTTGGGAGATATATATCCAGCGGGAGATGCTTATAATTCCTTTTGAAAAAAATTATCGAACTTACACGTAACACTCCATAAATTTTTTTTAAATGTGTAACTCGGTCTTTGTCCGCAAATTTTTTTTTAACTGCATACCCAAGTTCAATAATAGTTCCATTAGGTCGAATAATTGTTTGAAATTCTGGCGAATCTCTCGGAGGGCATAAATTCACTATAATAGGTAATATACGACCTAAATAACCATATAAAATTTTAGTATTCTGTGATAGTAACTTAATTACAAAAGGCACTTACAAATATTTCGAAGGAAATTCATGATGCGAATTCTATCTAACAAGCGTCCTAAATCAAATTCTGCAAGCTTTTCAGAACAAACGTTCAGCTTTCTCTTCTTATTTTCAGGCTTATACAAAACAACCAATGTAACTTTAACACAAATAGCATAGTATGCAAAGATGTATGGTGCATCTCCGTAGGACCACTCTTCAATTCTATCAACTAATTCACTTGAGGGATCTCCTATGTCATTCCGTGACTTTTCTTCGCCTCGAAAAGGACAAACATTTCCCACTAATACAGCCATGTCCGGAAGATTGCGATCTATGAATTTTTTTTATTAATATGCATCACACTGATCAATCTCCACTGCTTAATTTACCTGTTGAAGTTCGTTTACTCGTATTGCGATCAAATTCTAATTGTGCCAAACTAATGCTATGCATTCCAAATGTCTCTATCGTATTTTTAATAACGCTATCCCACAAATAATGGTACGAATCTTCATTTTTTTCCATATGAGGGAGGGTAAATTAACGGTGCTATAAGTCTTGAATAAAGAGATGTACATTCCGCTTCTGTACTTAATACAAAATATGTATCTCGTACTTCTTTATCTATACCGCCTAGGCTAGTATTAAATTGGAAAAAATGATTAGGAGCAAGCGGTATTTTCACTGGAGGATATTCGTTAAGGAAATTTGCTAAATCAAATTTATTAGGAAGTTGATCAGGGATTTGAATTAATTGATTTATTATTTGAATAGTAATATCTAAGATAATAAGATATCGTAGTAATGTCAGAATAAGAATAGAAGGGACAAAAAAAGATAAGAAAAATTAGAACTTACCTTCTGGTGCTATTGATATGGAGGGTGTTACTAATATGGAGGAGATAATACACATAAGTTTGTTATTTTTTTTCGCGTTTAATAGCAGTAAAGAAAAAACACCACGAAAAAATAAAGGTTATTTCCATGTTTCTTAAGAATATAATGCTTTAGTGAGTAGGATTACATAAATTAACAGACCTTGAAGCTTTTGCTCTATTCAATAAAAATAAGCGTATAAGGCAAGTTAACAAATGAAATTATTGCGGAGAAACAGTATAGGTTGGAATATTCGAATGTAGTCGTAGTACTACTTACCCTCTCCTTCGCCCTTGATTTCTTCAATAAGTCCAACAATGGTTTTAGCTGGTCCTCGTTTTAAACCATCTTGCATTAGTTCATTCACGTTTAACCTAAGGAAGGATTTGCCATTAACTTCTTGTTCACGAAGAATATTGAAATGCTTATCCTCAAGTCCTAGGTTTTGTGTGCGCAAAAATTTTATTAGTTGTTCTGTTTTAGTCCATCCTTTTACTTCGTTGACTGTAGGAAGAGGAACTTTTTTTTCGGCAGAAGACAGTTATTTACGTGGATAGGACAAAAATAGTAATAGTCGTACATTTTATGTACGTAAATCAGATTGTCGCACAACAAGTCATGTATTGTTACTAGAGATGGGCAAATCGCGTCACGCGCAGGATTCATTAAACCTACCAGGCGATCGACAATTCAGGGGGTAAATTTTTAATATGAAATCAAATGACTGACGCACCTAAATTTTATATGTAAAATTTAGGCAAAATTCGCTTTCTAAGCTTATTTAACAATAAAGAAGTTGTTAATTTAATTTCTGGGTATCATTTTGCAAATTCTCTAGCATTTGAAGAATCTTCTTATAAAATTTTAAGGGTAGTATAAAATAAAATTGAGGATAATCTAGGCTACAAAGTGGACCAATTTTTTGCCATTTTTACGATTTTTTATTATTTGGGGTTGAGTCAATAGAAATCTAGCAAATTTTTTTTAAGTAAATTTTTTTTAAACTTTAAACAACAATAATTTAACAAAAATTTAATCAAATTTAATAAAAATTTTTTAAATAAAATTTTACAAACTTATAGAATTTATTCAAAAAAAAATTTTATTAAATTTGATTAAATTTTGATTAAGTTATTGGTATATAAAGTTTTTAAAAAATTTAATAAAAACAATTTGCTTGATTTCTATTGACTCACCTCCATTTGTTTACAAGTGATGTATATCATTTAACCAAAATAAGTAATGAGGCAGTGTCAATCGATTGACACTGCCTAATTATCAATTGACGCTACCTGATTACTTATTTTGGTTAAATGATATATATCACTTGTAAACAAATAGTAAAAAATCGTAAAAATGTCAAAAAAATTAGCCCACTTCATGGTCTAAATTATCTCAATTTTATTTTAAACTACCTTTAAAATTTTATAAGAAGATTCTTCAAATACTAGAGAATTTGCAAAATGATACCCAAAAATTAAATTAACAACTTCTTTATTGTTAAATAAGCTTAGAAAGTGAATTTTGCCTAAATTTTATATATAAAATTTAGGTGTGTCAGTTATTTGATTTTATATTAAAAATAGTAATTATACTCGGATCAAGTATTACTCGGGTTATTCACGAGTAATTAGATAACAGGGTAATGACTACAGTTACTTGGGTAGGTATACCCAGGTAATACTCGGATAGGTACACCTAAGTATTATCCGAGTAAGTATATCCAAATAATACCCGAGTAAAAATACTTTCATTGAATATATATAGAGATTATATACGGGTTGGGTATTACCCAAGTTAACTGGTTACAACTGTTTTTATAATTTTTAAAACATCTGATAAAATTTTGCCAAATGGTTTTTTGGCCGATCCAGTTAAGTGATTGATTTTGGCATGATTGATACATAACAATAAATTACAATTTATGTTATATACATATAAATTACATTGTAATTTGAAATATATAAATTTTCGCACAGACTAAATACACTATAGCACTAAACATGTTGGGCAAGTATTTAAACAAATTTAGTAATATTGAACGTGCTGACATTTTATAATGCTAAAATTTTATTATAGAAAAGTATCACATATAATGCATATATCTTTTATATATATGTAGGGATATAGGGATATATCAGTATATAGGGTGGAAATTTGCATGTAAATTCTAATATGTAATTTTTGTTATGTAAATAACATTGACCAGAACTGGCACTCAAAGTCAGCAAAATTTTTGTAATGCAGGTTAATAATTATGTGCCAATGCATTATTTAATGTGTACGTACGTATGTACGTACAGTATGTATAATTTGTAATTTTATTGAATCTATTATGTCGAAATAATAACTTAATTAGAACGGTTGAAAAATCATTTGGCAGATTTTTATCAGGTGTTTCAGAAATTGAGCTACTTAGGTAGATTCACCCGAGTAGCACCGGGTAGATTCACTCGAGTAGCACCAGGTAGATTCACCTGAGTAGCACCGGGTAAATTCACCAACAAATGTAAGATTTGATTGGCTACAATAATTCATGTAACCAATCTCATGACAACTTACTCAGGTATAACAAGTAAGATTTTATACTTGGGTATATCTATTAATTACCAGAGTAATCTGTAGGTTTACTCGCCGGTTAACTGAATAACGTTTTTTTGGCCGAGTACAAACACTAATTAAAAATTTACTCCCTGAATTGTCAATCACCTGCTATATATGTATGTATGTGCTGCAGTAGATCCTCGATTTTGATTGGCCAACAGCTGTGATCGACAAAATTCTGACCCATATTATATATAATTTTGGCTAGAATTTAATTTTTAATTTTTTTAATTGTAAAAATAGAAAAAAATTTTAAAGTTTGGGCCTGTACAATGATAAAATTAGCTAAAAACATATTTTGCTTAATGGATGATCACGATTTCATTAGTAATAATTTGAGTAATTTGTTTAATTTTTTAATCGTTACCATCAGCTGACTATAAATATTGTTACAAAATAACTTTATAATATTACACTAATAGATTTGTAAAACAATACTTTATAATTTATAGTTTATATTTTTGATATAATTCTTAATTTTTTTTTTCCACTTAGGCCATCTTGCCTTTAGTCTCTTTTATTATTTATCGATTGTATGGTATTACAAAAGGCCTTAGCATAATATATAGGAATGGCATCTCGCAGTTACTTTGAGAGCACTTACAAGCGATCGGCCGCACTGAGCAGATACATCTCTATGAATATATCACGATAAGTTTTAAAATAGAAACACTATCTCTTTCAGACGAACACTATCAGACCACCGCCCTACAATAGGATATCGCCAATCTGATAACATCTTCTTGTAAGGAAGTGGAAAGAAAAAAAAATTTTTACTAACACTAACACTAATACTAAAGGGGAGATACTAAAAAAAAACAGAAACTAAAACTAAAAAACAAATACA